AAACTGGGAGGAGGGTAGAGAGAATAGTGCAACAATGAATGAATGGAAACCCAAAATCTCTGTAAATGTTTATGAAAATTAATAAAATATAGAAAAAAAAGGGAAAAAAAAGATGCTTTTGAGTCATCGTGTTGGAGGTTGCTGTTATGTGCTGTTGACCCACAGTGACCCTATGTACTGCATCTCTGAAGCCTGCCCTATACTGCCCTGTCCTGAGCCTGCCCTGTCCTGAGTCAATCACACTAATTCCGACACACCAATTCCCATTGCCCCAGTTACTGTATCAATCCACCTCATCTGAAGTCTTCCTTTCCTGTGTCTTTCCTCCACCCTTCCAAACATGATGTCCTTCTTCAAGGACTGATCACTCCCTGCCACGTGCCCAAAGTATGTGAGACAGAACTTCCAAAATTCTAGCCTCTAAGAAGAAACTTGGTTTCACTCTTTCCAAGACAGACAGACCTATTTGTTTTCCTGGCAATCCATAATATGGATATGTTCAAGACTCTCCTCCAGCACCACAATTCAAAGGCATCAATTCTTCTTCTGTCACCTTTAGTCATTGTCCAGCTCTCTGATGCATAACAAATAATTGCGAAGACTATTTCCTGGATTAGGTGCACCTTAGTCTCTAGATTATCATCATTGCTTCTCTGTACTTTGGAGAGGTTTCTGACAGCATATTTTACCAATGCAATTCATCTTTTGATTTCCTGACTTGTGCCAAGAGTGATGATTGTTGAAGCCAAGTAAGCTTCTGGTGCTAAGAGTGTTTATTGTGGAGCCAAGCAAGCTGTAATTGTTAACAACCTCAATTTCTTCTCCACCTATCATGGTGCTGCCAATGGGCCCAGTGGTGAGAATCTGTCTTCTTGATGTTGAGCCTCAATCCATACTGAAGACTACAATCCTTGACCTTCTGCAGCAAGTGCTTCAGGTCTACCTCACTTTCAGCAAGTAAGGTGGTGCCATCTGCATAACGTAGGTTATTGATGAGTCTTCCTCCAATCCTGATGCCACATTCCTCCTCATAAATCCCAGCCTCTTGAATGATCTGTTTAACATATATATTGAAAAGGTATGGAAACAGGATATATTCCTAATGGATACCTTTTCTGGTTTTGAAACATGCACTGTTTCCTTGCTCTTTTCTGAGGACTGCTTCCTGGTCCAAGTATAGGTTTCGCATAAGCACAATCAAGCATTCTGGGATTCCCATTTTGCTCAAGGTTAGCCACAATTTATTGTGATCCACACAGTCAAATGCCTTTGCAAAGGTGTTGGAGGAGAGCACAGAACATCCCATAGACTTCCAAGAGAACAAACAGGTATGTCTTGGAGGAGGTGAAGCCAGATTGTTCCTTGGAAGTAAGGATAACCAAACTTCATCTCAAATACTTTGGACATGTTACTAGGAGAGACTATTCCTTGGAGAAGAACAACATTCTTGGAAAGGTGAAGTGATGGTGAAGGAGAGAAAGATCCTCACCTAAGCACAGTTACTGAAGCAATGGTCTCAAGTGTGTCAGTGATTGCGATGGTGAACGGGGTTCAGATCTATTCTTTATAGGATCGCTCTGAGTCTTATTCTATTTGACAACCCTGAATAATAATAATAATAATAATAACAATAATAATAATCTATTATAGGAGTCTGGCTTAGTGGTAAGAAACTGCAGGGAAATCTCAAATGTACGTTGTTTAAATGCACCAGTTGCTCTGTGATAGAAGAATGGTTAATCTCCTCTTGTGCAATTTACTGCCACTGAAACCCTGCTAGAGGGTCAAATATGAGTCAGTTCCAAATAGGATGTCACACAACAGCAACAAGATGTATATATTGTGCAAGAGCTCAATGAAGAAATTTGAAATATGGTGGAAATTACCAAAATGTAACACAAACACAGAGATGTGAAGTAAGCACATGCCATTAGAAAATAGCATCAATAGAATTGTTGGAGAAAGATTGCTACAGACCTTTCATTTGCAAAAAATGTAGTAACAGTCTTAAAAAGATTTCCCCACCCCCCCCAAAAAAAATAAACTCTGGACTAAATGGCTTCATGACTGAATTTTACCAAACATTCAGAGAAGATCTATAACCAACTATACTTAAATTATTTAAAATAAAAATAGAAATAGAAGGAATACTCCCAGAGTTATTCTATGAAGTATAACCCTAATATTAAAACGAGACAAAAAATATTGCCAAGAAATAAAACCATATACCCATATAGCTCATGAATACAGATGCAAAAATCCTGAACAAAATGCTAGCCAATAAAATCCAACATCATATAAAAAAATTCATCATGACCAAGTATGCAAGATAGTTCAACATGAGAAAACAATCAATATAATTCATCATATTAACAAATCATAATAATAAGAAGAACCACATGATCCTAACAATTGATGCCGAAAAGGCCTAGACAAAATCCAACACCCCTTCCTAATTAAGACATTTGGCAAAATTGGAATAGAAGGGAATTTCCTCAACATAGTAAAAAGTATATATGAGAAGCCAAAAACCAGTAACCTTCTAAATGGAGAAAGACTAAAAGCATTTTCCTTGCAAACAGGGGCTAGACAAGGATGCTCACTTTCACCACTCCTATTCAATACTAGAGGCAATTGCTAGGGTAATATAGCAAAAGAAGGAAATAATAAGCATTAGGATAAGCAAAGAAGTTCTGAGACAATTGCTATATGCAGATGATATGATAATGTACACAGAAAACTCGAGGACTCAACAACAACAACAAAAAGTGTGAAAGCTACTAGACCACTTTAGTAGAGTGGCAGGATACAAGATCAAGATACAAGTCGGTGGGATTCCTCTACAGTAACAAAGAAAACACAGAAAAGGGAAAAAAAAAGCAATACCATTTAAAATAGTCAAAACTGAGAACCTTAGGAATAAATCTATCTAGAAATACAAAAGACCTTTACAAAGAAAAGTACAGAACCTTTCTGTGAAAAGCAAAAACAGACCTAAATAAATGAGAAAATGTACCCCGTTCACGGATAGAAAGACTCAACATAGTGAAAATGACAAGCCTACAAAAAGCAATCTACATGTTTATTGCAATGCCAATGTTATTGATTGCCTTCCAGTCGAGCATGACTCGTAGTGACCCCATGAACAAAAGGTCTGAAGACCCTCTACAATCATCGACATTTATCAAAGTTCATGGAGTTTCCAGAGGCATGTTATTTAGGAAGTGGACGCCACTCCTATTTCCAAATCTGTCAAGTTGCCTGCTATGTATAGCGACCCCACGCACAGCAGCTCTGAACCCTTCTCTGTCCTAAGCCAGTCTCACTAACTCTGACACACCAGTCCCCATTGCTGCAGTTACTGCATCAATCCATTTCATCTGGAGTCTTCCTTTCCTGTGCTGTCTATCCACCCTTTCAAGGATAATGGCCTTCTCCAAGGACCAATCGATCTGTCGTGGCCCTGTGCCCAAAGTAAGTGAGGCAGAACTTCAAAATCCTAGCCTCCAAGGAAAGACTTGGTTTCACTCTTTCCAAGACAGACTGGCTTGTTTTCTTTCTTT